CTCCCACCCTGCCCTAACTTCCCACAAAGTAGCAACAGCCATTCTTCTAAAACACAAGTCAGAGTACTTGATTTCAGAGTATAGTGCTAAAAGCTCCTCCGCACTGGCACCCTTACCTTCCGAAAACTCAGCAGCTTATAAACCATTGGAAACTCCCATCCATATACTTACCCTTCTCTTTCATTTCTGTTTGTGATTTGAAATGCCCCCCAAGGAGTCCCATGTTTGAACACCTGGCCCCCAGTGGTGACACCCTTTGGGAAGGTTATAGAACCTTTAGGAGGTGGAGCACCGATTAGAGAAAGAGGGCCACAGGTGGAGGACCTTGAAGCTTTTTATATAAGCCCAGACCCACTTCCGGTTCACTCTGCTTCGTGGGCGCACACAGTGTGATGAAGCCGCCCTCTGCCCCTTCCTGCCGCCATGTCTGCCCTACCATAATCAACTGTATCCCTCCGGAACTATAGGTTCAAATCCTTTCTCCCCAAAGCTGTGTCTGTCAGGAATTCTTTTTTAGGGTTCACAGACTTTATTGTTTCAAATGGCGTCATCTACAGACACAAAAACCATCCTTCCAAAAAGCTTGTCAGGATGTTTAAAACAGCAATAGGGAAAGGAACTAAGGCAATGCTTATTAACATCCAATGTGTGCAATTTATTCATACTCATTTTACCCCAGATATCTCCTCAGTAAGCACAAACGTTCCATGAGATTTCAGATTTTTGTCGGCCTTGTTCACTACTAGAGTCCCAGCACCTAGAATACTTGGCACATAATACATGCTCAACATGTACTATTTTATAGAATTACATTATTTACTTTGTGTTTGTGTGTGCACAGGTGCATGTGGAAACCAGACAACAACCTGTAGGAGTCAGTTCCCTCCTTCCACCATGTAAGTCCTGAGGTTCAGCTTGGCTTACCTTTAGCTACTAAAACATCTCCCAGCCTTCAATGTGTATATTTTAACTGAATGCAAAAATAATGCTCAAGGAATACAGTTCAAAAGGTATTAACAAACAAGCTAATTATGTGCCAACACTGTTTTAACTACATTAGTTCATTTGGCCATCCTAAGAGGTTAAATACTATTATTCTAATTTTTCAGAAGAATTTATCTTTTTCTTTTTACTGAAATTATGGTTAAGGCCAGATATGGTGGCATATGCTTTAACCCCAGCACTCAGGAGGCGAAGGCAGGTGGATCTGAGTTCAAAGTTAGCCTAATCTACAGAGCAAGTTCCAGAAAAGCCAGAACCATGCAGAGAAACCCTGTCTTGAAAAAAAGAAAGAACTAAGCTTAAGCAATATGCCCTACAGTATACAATGGCAAGGCTAGGATTAAACACTCTAATTCCAGGATTGACACTCCAAAACATGGAAAACCTCAAGCGCCATACGGTTCAATTACATTCCACATAATCATGGCCCATCGCTCTCAAAATAACTGATGTACTACTTATTTGATTACATATAGCACTTTGTTCTCTGCTCTTTCTCCATCAGTGGTTCTGATACCTTATATATAAAAGGCATTTACAGCTCTCATACTCCTTCCTACAAAGGGCATAAACAACATAAAAACCAACTGTTTCTGTAAAAACCTTCACTTTTAAATTTCTAGTCTGAACCTGGATTACAAGACTGACATAATTCCCTGTAACTTTAGTAATGAAGAAAAACAAATGTCAATGGACTCAACACTAATAGCATAGGGAATGACAAGCAGACAACCTTTAAAAAACTACACTGTGGCTCAATCAGGTCTGGAACTCACTATGTAGCCCAGGCTGGCTTCAAACTCAAGGCAATCCTCCAGTCTCAGCCTCCTAAGCACTGGAATTACAGGTGTGAGCCACCACATTCAACTAGCAAAAAATATTTAAGATTTATTTTATTCTCAGTTATGTGTATGGGGAGTGTAAATGATGTGAATGTGAGTGCAGGTGGCCAAGGAGGCCAGAAGAGGAAGTCAGACCCGCTAGAGCTATAGGTAATTTGAGTAGTCTGACATGGGTGCTGGGAACCAATCTCAGGTACCCTAGAAGAGCAGCAAGTTCTCTTAACTGCTGAGCCATCTCTCCAGTACCCAAGTAATACATCCTGATTAATTAAATAAAATGCAAGATTTTTTTCAGACAAAAATTCTAAACTGGTTTCTAAATAGGTTATTTCTACCTCTGACACTTCACCAAATTACACAATTTCATTTCTACAAGAATCACAATTCATTATTATGTAAACATTAATATGTGCACCCAAGTTTCACCCAGTATGTTTTGGATTTTGTTTTCTTCAGTGCTGGGAGTCGAACCTACAGCCTTCCTGCATGTTAGGCAGGTATACTACCAACATATCCATCCCAGTAGCCAGGATCTAACTGAATCTTCAAAATTGAAAACTAGCCAGCCTGGTCTCCAAAGCAAGTTCCAGGAAAGGCGCAAAGCTACACAGAGAAACCCTGTCTCAAAAAAAAAAAAAACTGAAAACCAGCCTGGAGTTGTGGTGAATGCCTGTAATCCCAGGGCTGAGGAGGCACAGGCAGTCAGATTTCTGTAAATTAAAGGCCAGCCTAGTCTTCATAGTGAGACCCTGTCTCAATATCAAAGAGGGGGTAAAAATGTGAGGGTAAAAGTGTGGAGCTTGTTCTAGCTAATCTAAAATCACAACTACTCATTGTACCAACCAACTATTCAGCGTCTACATATAGATAATTTAATCTCTAATTTTATGACTATAAATTCAACTATACACTTTATCAATTAACTATCATAGCCTCTATTTCCTACCAATCTCTACAAGCAGAAGTTTTTCTAGTAAATAAGAGTCTGCTCATGAAGTAAACATAAAAACAGGCAGTGATCTCCAACTACTGAAACTAATCAATGTATTTCTCTCTTGGGTTACAGAAAGGCACTCCCTTGGCCATTTCCCCAAATAAATTAGGTAAGCATTAGGAAAGTTACTGTTTAAATTTCATTTTATGACAGTTTCCTCTTCTTCCATGAGTAAACCATTGAGAGTCCTGCCTCTCATTATATCATAATATGTATCCATCAAAGGACCTGTTTTCTGAACAAGAAATAGCTTAAGTCATAATGATAAGGGCTGTGACTACTATAATCTAATAGGAAGCAAGAATCCAGAAAAGCCGGGTGGTGGTAGCGCACGCCTTTAATGCCAGCACTCAGGAGGCAGAGGCAGGCGGATCTCTGTGAGTTCAAGGCCAGACTGGTCTCCAAAGTGAGTTCCAGGAAAGGCGCAAAGCTACAGACAAACCCTGTCTCAAGAGAAAAAAAAAAAAGAATCCAGAAAAGACTCAGGTTTATTGTGCTAAACTGTGAAATGCTGACGTGAAGAACACTGAATACCGCTCACTCTCAGTAACATCTCCCAACAAAGTAAGACACATTCTCCCACAAGGTACCAGAAGCACAGTTTAAAAGCACTTGACATTTACAATATTCCTTGGAAATGGAGGGACGTACGTAATGAAAAAAAACCCTACTTCATTTTGAAAGTGTTTAATAAAGACTACGACAAAGCCAGGTGTGGTCGTGTATGCCTGTAATCCGAAGCACCTGAGTTTGAAGCCAGCCTGGTCTACAGAGTGAGTTCCTGGAACAGCCTACACTAAGAAACCCTGTCGGAGTGGGGGGAGGAAAAAAAACTGCAATAAGTACACATGAAAATGAAAAATAAGAGCAATCTACAAGAAAGCCAGGCATGGTAGGTCAAGTCTCTGCAGTCTCAGCTCTTGGAAGGCTAAGACAGAAGAATCCACAGTAAATTGGAGGCTAGCCTGGAATAGGGTGAGCCCTTGCCTTAAAAAAAATCTAGAAAACAGGGACAGCCAGATAACTCGACAGTGCTAATAGCACAAGCGGGTCAACTGAAGTTTGATCCCAGCAATCCACAGTGGGAGAACCGAGTCCCAAAGGCTGTCCTTTGACCTCAAAGCGGGAGCGCGCACGCACATACGCACACTTTTCTTAAGTCCATTTTTTTAATCCAAAATTAAGCATCTCCAGTGAATACAATGAAAACAAAATGGATCAAGGTCTATCGAAAAGCAAGGTGTAAAAGACAGATGCACTTTAAAACATGTATAATTTTCACACAATTAGCTCCAACAGAACGGTTCAGTTTGTTTTATCCACTCAAAGCCATCAACCACAACCACCTGCAACTATTACTCTGAAATGTGCCTGGCAAAGAAACTACCTGAGTCCTGGGCCTTTTCTTAAGAAGTCAGCTTAAAAATGAAAAGTGGTACAAAGACACCAAGCACAAGGGGGGGTAGGGGGCCCGCAGGAAAAATTTAAAAACTGAAGACAGCACTTTTAAGAGTCTAAGAGTAATGAAACAGACTCCCTCATGGTTGCTACAGAATGAAGTTGTCTAAACACCAACATCTTCCTTCTTGTGTGTAAAACCTGATTCACTCACGCTCACAATTTACCTACCCCAAGTCAACGCAAAGGGGCTCTTCCCTCCGCGAATTCCACTCATCATCCGGCCAAAAAAAAAAAAAAAAAGCCTCAAAACCCTAAAGTGGCAATGTGAGATCTGCTTCAGTAGCCCCTCCAGCTACCTCGAGGGCAACATCCACGCTTCATTTTCCTCTTTGAAATACAACCTTTCTTCTATCTATCTCACCAGGTCCAAAATAATAAAAAGATCATCTTAAACATTTTACATCAGAGCTACCTTGGCCGCACCCCAAACTCCAAGGCTGCCCCCCAATACCCCCGTCTCCCCACATCATGCCTCCCACCTCCAGTCTCGGAGCGCCCAAAGCCCCCACCTCCCACAGCGGAGGTCCCCGCCGCCAGCGCCTTCGCTCCCGCCCAATCCCGGAGCTCCGCAGGGCGCGGCCGCCGGTGGGCTCGGGTGCGCTGGGGCGGGGTCCACCCTCCCGACCTCCCCATCCTTCCCGCCCACCCCCCCACCTCAGCCCCCGGCCCGATCAGGAGGGGGAGGGGTCCCGAAACCTCACCTACAGCTCCGCCCCTCCCCAGGGGCGCTCTGCAGGGCCGGGAACGCCGAGCCCGGTAGGAAACGGCAAATGCCTCGGCGCCTGCGACCGCCGGACAGCTCGAGGTCCCGCCTGACGCGCGGGCGGCTGCCGACGCGGCCGCCTCACTCTCCTC